CAGCTTCCCTCTAACTCACTCGTGGCCTTTGGGGGCTCAGATGCACCTGTCGGCACCAGTTCCCCTCTGACGAGCGTGGGTGCGGCTCCTCCTTCCTGGTCTTCCTTGAGCGGAGCTCGAACAGCGAAGCTGCTCCAGGTGGGTCTGTGCGACGCAGCAGTTAATTGCTTCTCGTTCTCTTTAAGACCGAGGTTCCCACTAGAGCCTCCAGGGCGGTGACGACGAAGACGGCGAAACGGCGGTCCAAAGCCTCGTTGGAAGGTACTGCACGGCCACCGATCACTCAAGTAGCCGGAAGCGGGGGACGCGTTTCTTTGCCTTCATCGCAGCATCTGGTGGGGAACAGCTGGCCGGACAGCAGGTCTGCCGTTGGGGGGCGTGGACAGACGACGGGGAAGCGATGGCGACGTGCGGCGCTCACACACACGTGCACACACGTGCGGGAGCCCGCGTCACCCGGGCCACAGCAGCGCCTCTTTGCCGGAGAGCTGTGGTGCAGTCTAAAGACGTGACCAGATTTCAGTTTTCCAGAAATGTTGATCAGTCCATCAGTTAATCCTCATGCGGGGTGGACAGGGAGAGCGTCCTGCTCTTAGGTGGGTTTATGCGTGTAAAAAGTAGCAGAAGCGGTCCCTGGGAGTTAGACTAGAAGCTCACAGCTGACGCTGCCGTGCACAGGCCCGGCCGGGGTTGGGCCTCCCTGGGTCAGAGCGGTGAGCAGGGAGCCCGGCGGTCCAGTCCGGTCCGGTCAGCGCGGGCGGTGCTGTCGGGGGCCGGCGGTGTTGGAGCTTTTTAATTGCGTAGAAAGTTACTTTGAGCAGTTTCTGAAACATCATCCTTTCCCTAAATCGTAAAAGTTAAGGAAATAAGGCAAGAATGTAACATGGGAATTTTTCGTTGGGAAAATAGCGTGGAAGGTAAGAGCCCTCCCAGCAGCATGTGCCGCGTGACGAGCATCTCTGGGCCGGGAGCTCTGGGGTGGGGTGGGGTGACTTCCGGCGGGGAGCACCAGCTCGGTTTCGCGGCAGCTCCCTCGGCCGGGGGCCCTCCACCGCGCCCTCCAGGGTGTAAAGGGTTGCTGACTTCCACCGATGAAAAACTGTCCCCTTCAGTTCCTGGTGGGGCCGTGTGCTCTCTGTGTGTGAGTCATTTCCACTGCCTCCCGACCCGCGGGCCGTGGCCCTGCCTCCCTGTCGCTCTGTCCGGGGTCTGGGTCACCTGCGTGGCTTCCCTGGGCCGGAAGGATGACGGCCAATTTTCTCAAAAGTGTTTTTTATGTTTTTCCAGTTCATTTCTACTGATTACGTTTGATTTCTGACTTGCCTGCGTGTTTAATTTTTATGCACTAGAAGGCGCCAGTCTCTTTTTTTTTGTAGTTTGTCCAGAGATTCGAGAGACGAAGATTTGTGTCTTGTCAGACGTTTTTACATATATCTTTTCAGTGTCTCTTATTTTAATTCGTGATGTAAGACAAGGCTCTGGATTTTATTTTATTTTTTTCAGAATAACTCGCCCGCCGTTCCGGGTCGCTCACTGGTAATTGTTCCCTGCCCCCCGGCTCTGTGATGCCCCCACACACGCCTTTTGTGGTCTGGTTGGTGTCCGAGTTTTTTTGTTCATTTGGTTTTTTTACCTGTACTCTTTTCTGTTTTCCTACTAATCTTTTTTTTTTTTAAAGTCTTCGGCCACTTTACTTGCTTACTCTTCCACGTTTACTTTAAAACCACTTAAGGAGTCGGAGAATCCCACCTCCCACAAACAAAACTACCTCACTTACCTGCTTTTAATTGGATTTATCTTGAGCTTCTCCTGTCCTTCTCGGGAGTGCGGGCACTCTCAATGTCGAGTTACCGCAGGGGTCCCCACCCCAGAGCTGTGTGTCTGGGCCTGGGTGTGTCGCTGGTCCAGCTTTACTTGCTGCTCTGTTTTGTTTTGCGTTTCTTGGAAACGGTGCCTTCAGTGTAATCAGTATTCAGTGATCGTGATCGGAGCGTAGCAGCTTTATGAATGGCTGCGTCTTGCTGACCCTTAGCCCGTAGCTCTTCTTTTGTTCTTTGGGGTTTCCGAGCTCCCAGTCTGCTTTGTTTTCCAACGCTCAGGGTGTTCGCATCTGAGTTTGCCGGAGAGTGTGTGCTGTAGGGCTCCATGACGCGGTCTTTATGAGATTTGCCTACCAGGAGTTTGCAAGTTTTTTCATGTTACCGAGCTGTCAAGTTAGTGAACTCCCTTTGTTACCTGCTGGCTGGGGCACTGACCTCACCATGACCTCACAAAGCAAAGCTGGCACTGCACCCTAACATTCTGCCTCGCTCGATTACGTGGGGAGTGTTTGGGGAGACGTCCAGCGCCCATAATGTGTGTGAGACTCTTCTCGGGGGATGAGCCTCGTGTTGCTGGAGCGTGAGGGCATCATGGTTTTTAGACGTATTTAGAATCTTAAAGCCATTCTAGACCCCTGTAGAACCCAAAAACATTCGTTACAAGAACGCGGCGACTTTGGCCTGTTCTCGGGGAGTGTGTGGTAGCAGAACCGACTGCTTCGAGCTGCTGTGTGCATTTGACATCGTTCGTTAGGTAACCTCGCAGTGTTACAAGTTCAATACACGTTTTCATTGTGCAGTTTCACTTCAGGAAGACGGGTCTCTAGGACCGGTGAACAGTCTTTCTCCTGAGAGAGAACGTGGCTCCCCTCACAGTAAAGCTAAGAAGGAGCCTGTGAGAGGGAGCCGGACTGGACCCGGTGGCCTGCACAGGCCGAGCGCGATGGCTGGGGGAGGGTCTCTGAGGAGGGGACATCTGGGCAGGGAGCCGACAGGGTGAAGGAGGGCGTACGATGTCCAGGAGAGGCAGAGGCCCCGAGCTGGAAACGGGCTTGCCTGTGGGAGCGACGTGGAGCGGGGCAGCGCGGCGGGGCAGAGGGCACGTGGTGGGCAGAGGGGCTCACGGACCCACAGGCCCGAGCCGCCAGCCGTGTCCCAGTGCTTCGCACAGGTGTGGGCAGAAGCCCTCGGAGGGCGTTGAGCAGGACGGAGACGTGATTAGACTTGGGTTCTAGATGCGTCTCCTTTAAAACTGGAGGGCGTGGGCGGCTGGGCCACTGTTGGGGCCCGAGTGTCACTGGCGAGAGCAGACTGCGGGGGATGCATCTGAAGGAAGGGTCGACAGATGCCCGTGGGGAGGGACTGGATGGCGTTTGTCGAAAGGGAAGGGAAGCAAAGGTAAGGTCCACTCGGGGCGGGGTCTGGGCTCCTGTGTGGTGCCGTTTACGGAAGTGGGAGCCGGAGGGTGGCAGCACCGGGACTTCTCGCGAACCCCGACTTTGAAATGCCCGTGGAACGACCAGGTAGCGGTGTCGAGACGACAGGCGGTGTGTAGGCCTGGGCGCGGGGCGAGAACCGGCCTTGCCCCTGAGTTCTGAGGTTCTGCACCTGCAGCCGGAACACCGGCCAGCGCGTCCGCGCACCGCGCCTTTTCCCCGAGAGCTGCCGTTTCTGGGAGGCGTGTCTGCCGTCTGCTCCGTCGGGGTCAGCAGGTTTGGTGTCTGGGGACCCGTGGCTGTTTCTCCGAGGAGGTCAGCTGAGTGTGCTCTTCCTAGGTCCTCAGCATTAAGGGACGCCTGGAGCTCAGTGACCTCTCACTGGTGGGGACCTCGCAGTGGCCCGATGCTGCTGTCCAGCCGCATGCAGTGACCGTAGATGTCGTTTTTGCGGGAACTTTGCTCAGCCGTGGGCGGTCCAGGCAGGGACACTCCCAGGCGGGTGCTGTGCCGCACGAGGGGTGCGGGAACGCGGGAGCGGGTGGAGACGCCCGCACCCCAGACCAGTGCCGGGGTTCCATTCGTCCGCTGACCCGCCCCCGCCTGACTCGGCCTCTGAGCGTTTCCTCATTGGCACGTGGGTCGAGAGGAAACGAGGTGCTGACCACAGGGTGGCCAGCCTGGCTCAGGCCGGCTGCGGGTGACCTGCTCCATCACGGGTCACTTTGGATTACTGAGGACTCCAGTCAGGGTGAGACGGAACGGTGCGTTTACGGAAACTCAGCAGTGACTTAGACATGCCCCGTCCCCTTGTAGCTGTCATGGCCGGTGTGGGGACGGTGAGAGCTCCGTGGTTCAGGAGCACCAGCCGGTGACAGGTGATTGATCCTCAGTTGAGCACTTTGCAGACATTGGGGCGAAGCCTGGCGCCACCTGGTGGCCGTGAGCGGAGCCCTGCATGCCGCCGTCCCTGGGGCCCCCTGCCCTGCAGGCCGTTCTCCGCTTGAGCCCTGCCACTGCACACACCCTGTGCGTGTGTGACGTCAGGCCCGGGTGTCATCGCACTGGCAGGCATGGCGTTTGGACTGCGAGTCCTGTCAGGCCCGGGTGTCATCGCACTGGCAGGCACGGCGTTTGGACTGTGGGTTCATCCGCCGTTGTTACTCACGGCTCCCGCACGTCTTGCTGAGCGTGAGGTCCGGGCCCAGGGCCGTCGGGTCTGGCCGGCACCTGTCCCCTCAGTTCCCGCTCACTCTCGGCACCTCGAAGAACCGGGCCCACGCGGTGCCGGCCGCCCTCACAGGAGCATTCATGGGCGGAATGAGAATTCCACGAGGAATTTATTCGTTTCTTCTTTAAAACACGAACTGCCCCTTCCTCTGCTTGATGTTGTCGTGCAGGCCACCTGGTCGCCCTTGCTGTGCTTGCAGAGGTGTGACAGGCCGGGTTTTCCCAAGACATTAAGCCGTTCGTATCTTTATTTTGCTTGGGTTCCCTCATTTCATTTTGTTTTATTGTTCAAGCTTTTTTATTATGAAAAATACGGGAAAGTACAAAGAATGGAATGATTAACACCCGTGTACATTTCACGAAGGTCCATGTTTGCTTCCTCTACAGCTGCATGTTTTATGCACTATTTCAAAGTACATTCAAAACATCGTAACACTTTGCCTCTAAATACTTCAGCGCGCATCTCAGAAACGATAAGACAGGCTCCTGCATAGCCACAAAGTTGCCATTGCTCCTGGCAGGATTCTCGTTCTCTGATAACATCTAAAAGCCAGGCTGTGTTCTACTTGTCTCAAAAGATCTGTTATTTCATTTTAAAACCGGGCCCCAGTGGAGATAAATGCACTGTATTTTTATTATTATCTTTGTCTCTTTAACGTCTTCAGATTTGGGAGAACCCTCCGCCTCCCCCCCGCCCGCCCCGCCCCTTCGCTCCAGCACCCTGAGTCTGAGCAGTGAGGTCGTTCGTCTCATAGAGCGTCCCCAGCGTCCCCCCCTCGAGATTTGTCTGATTGTTTCCTTTTGCTGTCATTTAACTTACAACACCCGCCACCCGCCACCCTCTGCCATTTCCGTTAGATCTGAAGGTCTGATGACAGCTGGGAGAGCGTTTGCTCCCCCCACCCCTGCGCTTGCCCCTTGGATCCCGTCGGGGTGCACTTAGCATCTCTGTGCCCCCCAGCATGTTGCCAAGAGTGGTCACTGGGCCAGACAGGCCCCTCATTTTAAACACTGATTATGGGACCGCGTTCAGACTGACGGTCAGCAGCTCTGTGCCGCTGAACCGGGCACGGAACACTGGTGGGCGGTGGCCGCACGAGGCTGTCGTGGGCTGTACGCCTGGTCAGTGAGGTCAGGGAGCGCCACTGACTGGACCGGCCTTCGCCGGGCACAGCGCTCCGGCTCGACGCAGTGACCTTGGGGGCCGGCCTGGGGCACAGTGCTCGGAGCTGCACGACGGAGGAGGTGCTGGCCCAAGGTCCTGCACGGCTGCCCGGTTCGGTGGCCCACCTCTAGTTCGGGCCGCACATGGCGCTGGCGTGCTGACCTCTTTTGCCAGTTCATAGTAATTTAAATCTTCGTGAGTGTATTATTTTTTAAGCTATTACTTGGCAAACTAGCTAACCTGCCCTCTCTGAGTAAGAGTTGATTCTAGTGTCGTTAGTGGATATGTAGTCTGTTTTCAGGTTCTTTCTGTCTGTGCGGACTTGGGATTTGGTGAAGCTCACTCAAAAATGCCACCAGAACTGAAAAAATCGTGCAGGATGTCCTTGAACCACAGGAGAACGAGGACACATTTGTGACGCCCTTGCTGTGCTAGTGGGTTTTGCGGGAGATAGAAAATGTTTGACGCTTTCAAACAAAATAGAGCCTAAAGTTATTGGGGTGTTTTCTTCTAAAAGTGATAATCTGCAGCTGCTAACCCAATACTCGTTTTTAGGTTTGTTTTAGAATTTAACATTTTGTGTTGATTGTTTGCCTTCTGTACAATATGATAAGTAACTAGCTGAATCAGACTGTCTGTATCACTTTCATAGACTGAAAAAATTTTCATAGGAAATTACATGTCATCTACATGGTATGTAAAATAAAGCAGCTCTCTGATAGTTAATGGCAGGTGGATTCTCATAAGTTACTTCTGTGAATACTTTTAAGAAATTATAAGCTGTATTTCAGGAAAGGGGACGTTTTTCTGGTTTTATTCTTGTCTTCCGGTTTCTGTTTAGACAGCGGAGGTGTCCTGTAGGGACAGGTCACCTTCCAGCCCCGAGTCCTGCCACAATGCAAAACCTGTTCCCCTGGCACCTCCCTGGCCCCTGTTGATTTTAATAGGGAAAGTATCTCTCGGGTATTTGATTTTTTCCACTGCGTTTGGAAACACTGGCACACGAGTCGGGAACCAGTAGATAAGCATTTGGGGGCTTTCAGTACATCTCGCCCTGTGCGCTCTGCCAAAGACATTTTTCCTTCTCGCCTGCCTTCCTGAGACCCTGCATATTTGCGCCTTCTCGGCTCCCAGCCTGACTACGTGGGGAGGCGAGTGGAGGCCAGCAGTGCTGGGCGGTTCCAGAGACGGAGGAGGCGGGTGGGGTGGGGGCAGTCTGCTTGGCTCTGGCGGGGTGAGGGGCTGGGGCTTGCTCTCCGCCAGTGCCCCTTCCCTCTGTCCTGACCCCAGAGCCACACCCAGAGGCCTGTCCTCGGCGCGTGTTCTCGAAAGCTGCCTTCGGGCAGCGTGCTGTGAGCCGGCAGCTTCCCGGGTTGGACGCGCAGGTGAGGCAGGTGCTCTGCCAGCAGGGCCGCTGGCGGCCAGCCTGCAGTGTCGCCTTGACGACCCGCTTTACACCGTTTTGTGTCAGGAACAAAAGAAGCTCACACTAACTCAGATCGTTCAGCTGGCCTGTGGAGCGGCCGCTCTGAGCCAGAGGCCGTCGTCCAGCAGAAAGGTAAGGGCGGCCCTTCCGCTCCCCTCCGGGCGAGGGACAGCGAGCGCCAGACGTCAGCCATCTGTGGGCACCTCCCTTCTCGGAGCCACAGGTCCCCTTGGCTCTGCGGCCCTCAGAGGCCTGGTCCCTTTTCCTCATCCGTCACGACTGGGTGTGGCCAGTGACCCACGTCGCTCTCGACGCAGACTGGAGTGGGACGTTGCAGCCATCGCCCGATGGCACCAGACTCTCCTGTGTCCCCGGAGTCCTCTCTGCGGGAGGCGAGGTGGCAGGGCCCCGGCAGGCGCAGGGAGGGTCTGGGAGCAAAGCTCAGAGTCACCGCTGGGGTCCCGCAGGCCGGCCGCACACCTCCAGGTGGACTTCGCGTTCAAGGAGACTTTCAGACAACGCGAAACGCAGCCACTGCCATGGTTTTCTGCCCATGGTGTCCTTTTAGTGTCTAGTTGTTCCTGGTTCGTCTCTGCTTTCGGTGTTTTTCTGAGCATTTTTGAGACAGTTGTGCTCAAATACACGTTTGGCGTTTGTTTTAAAAGCTTGGAGGGCTGCAGTGCCCCCTGCGGGGCGCAGTGTATCCTGAGAACCAGGCCCTGCGGGCGGCTGGGTGACAGGGCCGTGGTCAGCCTGGTGTCTCTCTGCCCAAGTGGGACATTTGATGAAGGCCTACTGTGTGTCAGTGTCTAGTGGCCCTGCCACAGGGGAGAGGCAGTCTGGGGTGGAGAGACTGTGCTGGGCTGGAGTGTCCTGGCCCGGCTTCCAGGGATGCAGGGAGCCAGTGGGGGACAGGGGAGTCGGGCCAGTGTCTGCCGGGGGCTCAGGTGAGGGGTTTAGCAGCAGGGGCCGTGGCAGTTTCATGGGAGGCTTAGTTACATGCCCACTGACCATGGTATGGTGTTTGGGAGGCTGAGCCGGAGGTCAGCCGGAGCGAGCGGAGTCTGGAGGCAGTGCCCATCCAGGGCGGGCGGCTGGAGCTTAGCAGGGACGTGGGAAGCAGAGGTAATGCGGGGTAATGCTGGCGTTTGCTTAGATGATGGAGGGCCGTGCCCTGGGTGCAGTCACCGAGACTCGAGAGTGGCTTAGGGGCAGGGGGAGGAGGGCCTGCCACGCAGCCTGGCCCTGGGCTGGGGTGCTGAGGGGTCCGGGGTAGCCAGGCATCGGTCCAGCGGGGTGCTGAGAGGTCGGGTCGGCTCTGGGCAGGCCGAGGGCTGCTGTGCCCACTCGGGGCCACCTGGGGCTCCCTCACCTCTCAGCAACCTTTCCGAGCTTGTCGTGAACCCAGGCCTGTTCCCAGCACCTGTGGCCTCAGTTCCGAGGGGCCCGGGGGTCTGGAGTCCTGGGCTCCGGTCCCACAGCAGCCACGCTCTCCGTGGGCACCTGCTCTTGGTCCTCTGCAGCCTGTCCCAGGGTCGAGCCGAAGCCCCCCACCTGCCTTGGCCCCCTGCTGGGGACTCTGGAACTGCGGTGTGCACGTCCTCACGCCTCGGCCCCTCTGGCCTGTGTGGCTGTGTCACAGCGCCCTTGGAACCACTGTCTCCCGGCCCCTCCTAACCCCGCCTCCTCGAGTTCTGCGGGTGCCAGCAGGAGCCAGGCCTGCCCTCTGCTGCGCCGCTCCGTGGGGTGTGACCTCTGGGAGACTCCTGTGTTCCGTACAGATAGATCCCCGTTGACCCGTAGCTTGCCCCCTCACCCCTAGAGCCGCCCCCTTTGGCACCGTTCCGTGGCTCCCTGGTGCTCCGTAGTCAGCGGACAGTCCTGAAGTTGTCCTGCGGACAGACCCCGCGTCTGCCTGTGGGTCCTCGGAACAAGCCGGGCTCGATGCTGGCGGGCACGAGCAGCTTTGGCTCTTGTGCGGATGCGTTCGTGCACCGTACGCGTGAAATGGGAAGAGATGGGCCCCCCGCCCGCACGGTGCTTCCGCTCAGGTCCCCAGGAGCAGCACTTGAAGAGAAAGGATCCTGGGTGGAAAGGGTGACGGTCGGTCTGGGCAGCTTGAGAAAGTTGCTTCTAATTCAGGAGCCGATGGCGGAGCCGCTGCCGATGCGTCGTGCGGGGCGGGCTGCTGCGCGCCTCACCCGGAGCCGGGTCCCGTGCTGCGCCCGCACGTCCGGAGTCAGTCTCCGGCTTCGTCGGCCTCTGTCCAGTCTGTGATTCGTCTCCGCGATCAGCTCTCTTCACGTTGCTGTTTCCGGCTTCTATGTGACAGCGTTTCATGCGTCATGTTCTCCGCTCTCTCCGGAAACAAAGCCGTGGCCGCGGGAAACGAGAAGCGGGGGATGGAGAGACGGCCACAGCCGCCCCTGTGCACCCCGGCCTCGGTCGTCACGTGCCTGTCTCTGATCTCGGCACCGAGGTCTCATTTACTGACACGAAAGTGCATTTCTGACCTGCTTTTTTTTCTTTTTTTTTTTTTAGGTGACTCTCCAAGTGATGCAGGTAAAGAGTGGCCTTAAATGTGTGTTTGCTGCAACTTGTGTATGTGTGTGTGGGTGTGAACGCCTCTTAGATTTATGTTTTACAAACCGATAGCAAAAATAATTTAAGGAAACATCTCAACTATACCAATTTAAGATTTAATTTACATGTTTTATGTTTCAGAAGCCTACATTTTAGTATTTTTTTCCAGGGTACAAAGTATATTTTCAATATTCAAATTCTGATTTACTTGCGTTAATTTCTGAAGTATAAAACCCTTTTACTTTAAACAGTGGAATAGGTTTAGTTACCTTAAGTTTGGATTTACCGATGAAATCTTTTTATCAGAAGAAAACTTTGTTTAGGTTATAAATATAAAATGGTACATACCCAAAGCAGGAAATTTTTAAAATGCAGAAAAATAGGAAGAAGCAGCTGAGAGGCGCCGGTCCGGCCACTGCCAGCCTTCCGCAGCGGCGGCGGCCGACGCCTGAGCCGTGCCGGTGTTTGCACCTGCCGTTCGTTCTTTCGGCCGTGCCGCCTTTGAGTTAAATCGCTGCCTCGGTCGACCTGCCTCTTGGATCATCGCTTGAGCAGTTGGACCAGTCCGTGCTTCCAGGGTTCAGGGCCGCCCGTCTCCCCGTCTCCACCAGATTTAGATGTCAGATGTGTGCTCTGTCTTCGTCAGAATGATCGGTGGAGTGAGCTCGTTGATGTTCGCGGTGATTCGGTGCCGTTTTCTCAGCCGTGTGTGCTTTGTGTCTCTCCCCTGGCACACTGCTGGTCGGGCTGACATCCGTCCAGAAGGAGAAGTGGGGCCGGTCGGCCAGGATCGGGTCGAGGCGTCTGAAAGCCCCGCAGCCCCCCGCCAGCCCCCGCCCAGCATCAGGTGCGTGCTCTATGCCCTCCGCAGCTCACTGGGCGCTCGAGCTCAGGTTCGAGGACGTCGTCGCACCGAGGAAGCTAAGGCTGAGCATTTCGTGTCCCTGCACCTGGGGTCTAACCACCCACACTCAGGGCGTCTTACAGCTTTAGGGGAGTTCACGATCACGACTAAATCACGGGATGTTTCAATTACCGGTAGTTAATGCTTTACATACCTTAAAACTAATGAAGATACGGGATCCATCGGGCACCGGGATGCTTCTCGGGTTAGGAGTGCTGGTAGCACGCGCAGACCGTGTGCCGACCGTGGTCTGGGCAGCGGTGTGGGCTCGGACCCGGGTGTTCTCGTCCACCCCGAGCGTGTCGGCGCTTTACTCCCCTTTGATTCTCCCCTGTCTGGTCCAGCAGGGTGCCTCGGCCTGGGAGCGCGAGGCCCGCGCCCCCGCGGGTGAAGCGGCAGGACAGCGTGGAGGTGTTGGCGGCAGACAGGTGAGGCCGCCGCGGCCGGTGGGTTCGTCACCCAGGTGCGTGCTCTCTGAGCGGGCCTGGGGCACGGCCACGGGGTGCATGGGAACCAGGCACGTGCGGGGCGGGCGGGGGTGGGGTAGAGGGTGCGCAGCTGGGCCCTCTTCTCAAACCATGCACCTGCCTCACGTCTCAGGTGAGCGGAAAACAGGTGTTCATGCCCATCAGTGAAATCTTACAAGTGTGTGGGGAAACGGGATGTCTTTCCCTGGTCTCTACAGAGGGGATTTTCTGAGCATAGAAAATGAGGGAGAAAATAAGAAAAAAGATTTAGAGGCTTAATTGCACAAAAATTAAAAGGTGGTCAGTAAGTCATAAAGTGTGAAGACGAGCCGCAGACAGGGCGTTCGTAAGTTTACGGACCGACCTGTGGATACAGCGGGGTCCTCAGAGCACTGGAAATCAGCGGGCCGGCTCGGAGCGGGTTTCAGGAGAACGAGAGGTCGAGACTGGAGACGCGTCACTCAAGTTTTGCTGCGAAGGGACGGCAGTGGGGAGGGGGACGGGAGGCAGTGTTGGGCCATTTCTGTTCCGAAGATGTGACAAGGAGCACATCACAGTGACGGGGTGGTCCAGTGGATAGGGGGACATCGGTGACATTGGAGATGCAGGGTTGAGAGCTTGTTGGAGCAGAGTCCAGGGTGAGCAAGGGGATGTGGGGGGCCCTGGCTCCAGAGAAGGCCGTGGAGAGTTGGCGGGGGTGAGGTTCAGGGTGCTGAGTGCTCTGGCGCTCTGGTTTTCTCGTGAGCCGGAGGAGTCTGGGGAGGAGGAGCGGGTCGGGGCGGGGGGCGGGCAGGGGCCGGGGCAACTGCCGCAGAAGTCTCTTCTGGGGCCACTCCCACCCCAGGGGATGTTGGGGACATCGAGGCCATGTCTGGACACATTTTGTCATGTCATGGCTGGGGAGAGGGTGGAGGGAAGGTTCTTGGCATCAAATTGGGTTGAACACCCTACAGTGGACAGACAGCGCCCCCCCCCAACACACACAGAGATGAGCCTGGTCCAGCGGCCACGTGTGCGAAGCTGGCCTAGAGGGACAGGGCCGGGGGGCTGGGCTGCACCCAGGAGCCCGTAGAGTCAGTGTTGCTGTGGGCTTTGTCCCCATGGCCGCTGCGTGGCGAAGCCCCAGTGGGCACTGAGTTGGAAGGAGGGGTGCTGGTGGTCAGAGAGTGGGTGCTGGGGTTTATAGTTGGGGTCTTGCTGTCTGTGGCAGTGATAAGATGAGACCTGGGAGTGTGGCCGGGTGGCGGACTCAGGGTCACGGCAGGAGAGGCCAGGGAGTGTGGCTGGTGCCTGAGGCCTGGGCAGGATCATTCTCAGGACAGGAAGTCATGGGTTCAGATGGCGTTGTTGGCGGGAGTGGTGGGGTCAGGGGCGACGCGAGGCTTGGGGGTGAGCGGGTCTGACCTGAGTTTAGATCGGCAGATTTTCAGCGGAACGATCTGGAAGCTCTAATAAGCAACAAGGAAACAGCGACCGCCCCTCTGGGCCTGGCCCTCGGAGGCCAGTGGGAGGGAAGGAGCTACCGAGACCGCAGGGAGGTGCGTCCTCCTGGGGACGCAGGGACGTGGGGACGTTTGCAGAGGGGGTGTGGCGAGTGGGTCTGCCGACCAGGGAGGGCCCAGGGGGCCGTGTCGGGGGTGGGGAGCAGGGTGTGGGCCGTGGTGGGGTGCGCAGAGCACGAGAGTGGCCAGGGCTGGTCCTGGGGGGCGCGGGTCTGAGGGCACGGGGCGGAGCTGGGGGCCGTTGGGGAGCCCCCCACCCCCGTCAGTGCGGGTTCCCAGCTGGCCTGGTGCACTGCACTGGCACGAGGGCGGGGGGCCCGGGGTGCGCGCGTGCATGTGTGTGCCTGTACGCACATGGGTGTATGTGTGCACATGTGTGTACCTGTGTGTGATAGTGTGCTGGGGGCACAGCTGCGGCAGGCGAGTGGGGGCTGACGGCGCCGCAGTGTCCGGGTCTGGGGGCCTGTGATCCAGACACGGGAGCGGCAGGAGGGAAGCTGGCTGTGGTCTGCAGCGGGGTGATGCAGGGGGCAGTTCCGGTGCTGGGTTGTCGCTGGAGGTGGGAGCAAGGCCTCAGATGGAGCTGGCCACCTGCGAAGACCAGGTCCAGGGGGGCGGCCCAGATATCCATGGCAGGGCCTGGTGGAGAGGGGGTGTCAGTGGGGGTGTAGGGCCTGGTGGAGAGGGGGTGTCAGTGGGGGTGCAGGGCCTGGTGGAGAGGGGTGTCAGTGGGGGTGCCGAATGAGGGTCCTCGTAGAAGCTGCAGTGTTCGTGAGTGACACCAAGGAGCTGAGGCCTGGTGCCACCCGACCCTGGGGTTTTCGCTTTGGGGGAACAGGTCCCTCCGGGAGGGGCTGCAGGCAGAGGCCTGGTTCCTGGAGGCCCCACCAGGGCAGGCCAGGGGATTGGGGTGTCACCCTGAGGGCAGCTGGTAGGCAGAGGGTGCAGGGCGCGGACTGGGCAGCATGGGGGGTGCGGAGTGGGGGGTGCTGGCGGAGGGGAGGGGGCTCCCAGGGCCGGGGGGCTCCGCTCAGCCTACGCTGGCATTCTCAGTGGTGCAGAGACGGTCAGTGGGGAACCCTGCTGTGCCCTCACGCCCAGTCCACGTGCCTGGGGCTGCTGAAAAGCGAGGCCGACGTGGCCGTCCAGCGTCATCCAGTTTCTCTTCATCTAGGGCGGGCCGTGGGGAAGCCATCTCCCACGTGATCGCGGACTCCCAGAATTCTGACAGTGACGATGACGGCCAGTTCGTGGTGGAGGCCGCTCCGCCGCCGTCTGAGGTGGCCGGACTTGAAGTGGTCAGTGGACCGGGCTGGGCGGTTCTGTTACTGCATTTAGAGTCCGGCGCTCGGGTTCACGGGGGCAGTTTTCCTCTGACGTCCGTTAGTTTTCTGCCCTCTCTGATTTCGTCATTTCTCTGACGAGAGTCCAGCAAACCCGAACGTCCTGTTCCCTCCTCCCTCTCCTGCCCAGGTCCAGGCAGCGGAGCTGGAAGACGACCAGAAGCACGGTGAGTTGGGGCGTGAGGCGCGTCCGGTGCCGCGAGTCCGTGCCCCGCCAGGGTCCGCGGTCAGCAGTGTACATGGGACCCCTGGGCGCGAGCTCTCCCAGGCGGGGGTTCTCATTCTGGGAGACGATGCCGCTGCTCCCGTCCTTAGGGGACCGGGGACCTCAGCTGGGAGCCGTCTCCTAGGGATCTGCTCGTTCCCGTGGTTAGATTCGGAATGCGTGACCTCGGAGGCCGTTCCCAGACGGGCAGTTCCGGGAGGTTTTCTGTTTTCTTCTTAAACGCACTGTCTAGTCTTAGTTCAAACGTCTTTGGAAACAGTAGTCTGCGGAGCCCTCCGTTCCCGTCACGCGGCTCCGGCAGTGGTCACTCGTCCTGTTTCGTCTGAGCCGCTGCTACTGCACCCCAGTCCCCCCGCCCCCCCCAAGAGCACTTCTTCAGCGCGCATGCTGCACGCCGCTCCAGACAGTGAGGGCTCTAAGAAACGGCCGACCCCACTGCTGTACGCGTTAAAAATGCCTTAATGTCACCACATACCGTTTTTTCCAGCTTCGTATATTTTTCTAGTTCGAGGGGAATCCTGGTAAGGCGCCTGCACTGCAGCTGATTGATCTGAGTCTAAGTCTCTCTTGCCCCGTGGGGCCCCCTCCCCTCGCTTGTCATTCATTTGTTGAAGAAGCTGGTCTGTCAGTTGTCCCTTAGAGCAGCGGCCCCCAACCTTTGTGGCACCAGGGACTGGGGTTCCTATGAGAATCTGACGCCTGAGGATCTGAGGCGGAGCTGAGGCGGTGATGCCGGCGCTGGGAGCGGCTGCAGACCCAGATGGAGCTTCGCTCGCTCGCCCGCCGCTCACCTCCTGTTGTGTGGCTCGGTTCCTAACAGGCCACACACGGTACCGGTCCACAGCCTGGGGCTTGAGGTCCCCTGCTCTAGACAGTATGTAACCCTTTGCCCTTACTGCCGCCTCCCCGTACGTATGCTGGCATCGCCCGGAGCAGCAGAGGCGGCCCCACCCTGCTCACGGCCGTGGGGGGGCCCAGTGCCTTCAGCCCGGTTCCTGGTGCATTCGTGTAAACAGTATTGTAAAGGAAATGGTTTTCCATATGGCGTTTACCTTGTGGGTTATTCTTTTCTTTTTTAAGAAGCTGAAGACTCTTGTCCCAGTGTAAAAGAAGTCTCGGTACTTAGTGGCAGTTCACAGTGGTCACGTCTGTGATGGGTGGTACTTAGTGGCAGTTCACAGTGGTCACGTCTGTTTGTGATGGGTGGTCACCTTTTCGGATGTTAATCTACATTTCTTAATATTTGGAAACAAAAAAATCTGTTTTATTTCTCAAGTTTTTTTTTAACCTTTCAATGAGCTGATTTCTTTGAAACACTTCGAAATCGCGTGATTTCCACACCAGCTGTGGTCCGTCCACGTAGGCCGTCTTCTGCCAGGCAGACCGTCAAGGCCACTTTTAGCATAGAAGGAAGAAGAGTAAGACTTTAGCATGTGCCACCCTCACCCCCGGCTCCCCGGGCCAGAGGACGACTTTAACACAGAACCACTGCTTTCCAACAGGGGGGCTTGTCAAAAAGATTTTGGAGACCAAGAAGGACTATGAGAAGTTGCAGCTGTCGCCCAGACCTGGAGAGAAGGTAAAGGCATGATCGCCGAGAATGTCCGAGTCTCACGTTCGCGTTTCAGAACGAGAAACTCCTTTCAAATGTAATTGTCGTTAATGTCCGTTTACGTGTTTAAAGCTGCCCCATGCCCCCGCTCGGCCCCCTCAGGTGGGAGGATAGAAAATTTGGGGCTTCGGTGTGCCGTTGCTTCCAGGGCTCCATGCGGCCTTCCTAGGTGGGGCAGCCTCACCTGGGGGCTGCGTTCTGCGCTGACTCCATGCGACTCCCGTGCCGACCCCGTCCACCCCTTCTGCATCCCTCCTCCATGCCGCCTCCATCCCTCCTCCACCCCTCCTCCATCTCTCCACCCCTCCTCCTACCCTCCTTCATCCCTCCATCCCTCCTCCACCCCTCCTCCACCCCTCCTCCACGCCTCCTCCACGCCTCCTCCATGCCTCCTCCATGCCTTGTCCACCCCTCCTCTACCCCTCCTCCACCTCTCCTGCATCCCTCCTCCACCCCTCCTCCATGCGTCCTCCATGCTCGCGGAGTCGGAGGGTGGCTGCCTGGCCTTGGCTGATTGCAGCCTAAGAGGCCAGGGAGGTTTCACGTCTGGCTTTTAAAGACAGCGCCCTTTGTGACCGGCCACCCAGCGGTCTTTCTTGTGGGCATTTGAGGGGTTCTGCAGGGACCCAGCCTCCCGCCAGCCACCGCCCTTGGGCCATGGCCCTGGGGTGAGTGCCCCCAGGCCACGCAGTGTCCCTCAGATGTCACAGCTAGGTTCCTGTTACAATCACTTTAAAAACTAAAAGTATTTGTTTATTTTTTTATAACAAAAAAGTTTTTTGGATAGTTTTATCAGCAACCAACAATTCCAGTAAGTTTCACACCCACGCTGTGGCCCGGACAACGGCACAGTGTCACGGTACGCAACCGTGCGTGGCCGTGACACTGGGTGCGAGGCGGCAGGGCCCGCTGTGCGGTCTGTGCCCAGGCCCGTCTCCATGGGGGGCGCGGGGCTTCCGTGTCTCCAGGAGCCACCAGACAGTCATGGTGCTGGGCGGCGTGTCCGTGCCCGCCGCGGTCGAGACAGC